AGGAGAGAGAGGGGAGAGAGAGAGGAGAGAGAGGGGAGAGAGAGAAAGAGAGAGAGACAGAGACAGAGAAATGCCCGCCACCTCTGGCAAGAAGAAGGAGGGAAAGGTGGAAAGGGTTTTTCCTCTTAAGGGGGCTTTAACGTAAGATGACGTCAGGACGCTGGGCAGGTCTCCAAGGGGTGGGTCAGAATACAAACACATGCCATTGCTTGCTGAAGACATTACCCCTCCTGCACTCTGCCAGCTGTCTCCTGCTTGCCTAGCGCCTGCTGACCGGAAACAGGTTAGACAAACTAGCAAATTTCACTGTTGTATCACGTGACTAACTTTCTCCACTGAGGCTCATCCCTATTGGGCACTCTCCTTTAGCTCTAGGGCACCACTGATTATAGATTCTTATAGCTACTCTTTTATGTTTAACTTCCCTAGTAAATTGATGGTTTAATTTCTGTCATTTCTAGACTGACATACTAGTTTGATGGGCAAGATATTTTCATTAATATTTTTTACTTCGACCATTATTGAATATTTTTCTCTATTAATTAATTCCTTCATTTATTTGATAAATATTTATTCAGTGAATGCTATAGGGTAGACTAAAGTGAATAAAGAAATGTCAATCTTTTATTTTAGTAATTGGTATTCTTTTCTTTACAAACTTTTTATTTGTACCTGTTTTCTTGTTGGAATCGATAATTTCCTAATTATAATATATTGTTTTTAAATATTTAAAATGCTAACTCTTTGGCATATTTGTGGGGAAAATTGTCTAAGAACAGAGTTAATGTCATGATTTTCGTGTTACTTTAAAATGACAACTGAGTGTTGAATTTGGTGAAATGAGAATCTGCCATGTTCGGCTGTTTCTGACCAGGAAAGAAGGAGTTACTGTCAGTTGGTAGTCTGTGCCAGCCAAAAGGTTTGGGTGTTGGTTTCGGGATTGACGAGTGAACCAGACCTGAGGGAAGGCATAACCAGTTACAAAGTATGTCGGGCACCTAACATCTGGTGGGCACTCAGTGAGCACTGAGCATATACCTTTCACCAACAGTCACAGGGATGCGATCTAATCCACAATCCGAACTCAACATTAGGTTTTTCACTAAGCGGAAACAAGGCTTCTGGTTTGGATTTCTATGTATGCCTGGAACCATAAGATTTAATACACAGAAGTCTGTCCCAATCAAGCAGAATAACACATTTCTCAAGCTGATTTCCCATATAGGCTCTCTCCCTATCAAAAGAGAACTCAGGGATCATCATAATATACCTGGTTCCCCAGTCATATTATTACTAGCTTGATATTGAAAATCATATCTTAGCTTATCAACCAAACAGAATACTTCCAGTATAGTCTTTGTACCTCAGATTATTAGATTATAATGTATGTGTTATGGGGATGTTATAATTAATGCTAAGTATGCACACAGGCTAGGGACTGTCATTTCAATTTCTTATCCACCTAACAAGTGAAAGAAACTTTGAATCTGTCGTTTGAAGACTCAGAGATGAATTCAAATTTAGCTATTGAAAGTTACTTCTTTTATTTCGCTAAACCCGGTTTTGCCAAATTGTTCACTCTGCAGATTGAGACCTCATTTCCCCCTCAATTTTTCAATTTGAATTCAACAGTGGAATTTCCTTCCGTGAGGAAAAGAAGGAAAACATGTCAGAATATAAATTCCTGAACGCTGTGACTGTACCTACGTGACATGTTCCCTCAAGCTAACTTGCCTAATTTCGGTGCTACACGTAGACATGAAACCTTTCGTCAACAAATAGAACCTAGTACGCTAAAGAAACAATTAGTCACCATTTCACCAAGAAGCCCAAAGCCTGGGGCTGCCACCTTGGGCCGTCAATCAAACCAGCTACGCTGCATAAGGTAAACCAAACAATCTGCACTGTGGCGTAACCGACTTTCTGTGCTGTGAACTCAATGGACATCTGTTCGCTGTGTTTCCAGGGAGAAGGAAATAGTTTTGAACAACTCTCTTTAAAAAAGAGATGGTGGAAAATAAACAGAAAAAGAGTTCTCTCGGCACTCTGAAACTGTATTCTGGCACGGCCACCTGTGAAGTACCCTCTTTGTCACCGCGTGAAGGAAACTGAGTCCCCCGACATTATTAAATTTTGATACAGGGGGAGTATCTCTTCAACCAGCTAAACAATAACCTTGTTTTTCACCCTAAAGATGAAATCGTTTTCCTTCGATGATTATTGCTTTAACTCTCCACTCCCCTCTGGATCTGCTTGTAAAATCAAGGTACTTCAGACGCCTCTTTCTTCATGTAGCTTAGAATTCTGTGAATCTTGGGAACTTTTTCATATGACAAGAAGTATTCAGCAGTTAAGAGTCTCCTGAGAGGAGAAGTCCTTCAGAAGTTTAAGGGTACTAGAAAAGA